AGAGAGAGAGAAAATGGCCCTGCTAGCATAAATGGGCAGGCTCCCTCCCTCACTCCCAGCAGCCACAGTACTGACAATATACTCACAAATTTCCAGATGTGCCCACTAGCCCAAAAAAGATTGGATACTCTTCGCTATTGGTGTTTAGTTACAGCCGTGCGGAGAGTGCCGATAAGCAGGTTTAATTCACACATTAATGTCAAGCCAGGATTTTTAACTACAATAAAAATGATTAAGTAAACACGGTGGCCTGCTTTACATATTGTAAAAGAAGCTACCTTCTTGTTTTTGTTGAAAAGAAATCCATAGGATGTTCTTAAAGTTGAGCTAATTTCCTGGTGACTAATGGAAATATTCATGGAGATTTTTTGCCTGCAGGGAGGGGCACAAAAATGAAATAAGTTGTCAATACCTCTTTCTGGGATATTTTTTCAACTTCTCAGTCTAATTTATAGATCTAAGTCATTTTGGATGGGTTTTCCAATAGTGATTATTTAGTACAGTATTCTATAGCAATAATAGTAATTCCATTCTCAGTATTGCTGACTAACATATGCTTTTAGTTAGAAAAAATAGGTGATGGTAGAAGGTTAATATGTACCTAGCATAAAGATAGAAGAAGTAAGTACAGTACAAGTCATTTTATAGGCTAAACCAAGTTACTATGACATATTTTCCCATAAACTAGAGTTTACTTCATCAGATGTTGGCAATTTTGTCCTAAATTGCAAATAAAATGGTTTTCTCCAAAGTTTTAAGATTCATACGTGACATACAGATAACCAGCTTATGGAGCAAGTTAAATGCATCAAAGAAACCTAACTTATGAGCTCGGGTGGTGCAGTGGTTAGAATGTAGTTCTGCAGGCTACTTCTGCTGACTCCTGGATGCCAGTAATTGTGCAGTTTGAGTCTCACCGGCTCAGAGTTGACTCAGCCTTCCATCCTTCCGAGGTCGGTAAAATGAGGACCCAGATTTTTTTTGGGGGGGAGGCAATATGCTGACTCTGTAAACTGCTTACAGAGGGTTGTAAAGCACTGTGAAGTGGTATGTAAGTCTAAGTGCTATTGCTAACTGGAAACTGGTTTCCAGAAAGAAGCCAATGCAAGCCAATCATGCCTCCTCTGTGGCCCAAAAGAGCCTTTCGGACATTTCAAAATTTCATCAGACACAGAGAAGGTATAGGTAGTCCTCGACTTACAACAGTTCATTTAGAGACCGTTCAACGTTACAACGGCACTGAAAAAAGTGACTTACGACCGTTTTTCACATGACCATTACAACATACCCAGAGTCACATGATCAAAATTCAGACTTTGGCAACTGGTTCATATTTATGACGGTTGCATTTTCCCAGGGTCACGTGATCCCGTTTTGCGACCTTCTGACAAGCAAAGTCAGTGGGGAAGCCAGATTCACTTAATAACCATGTGACTAGTTTAACAACTGCAGTGATTCTCTTAATGACTGTGGCAAGAAAGGTTGTAAAATGTGACAAAACATAAATTTTGGGCTCTATTATGGTCATAAGTTGAGGCCTACCTATACTTCATCGCAGCCCTCATTAAATGTATTTATTGCAGATTCTTATACAGACTGCAATTGGGCTTATGTTCAAAACCCTGTTACACTATCAAAAGCCCTGCTTTTTGACTCCTAAATGTGTTTTAAATTTGGACCTGGGACTAGAGGTCGAATTGTTTAGAATCAGAGCTAAAAATCTTGCAGGCTGTTTTATTAACATGGCTAAGGATCCATCTGGCTCCAGCCAGACTGCTTTCCTTTCTAATATCTGACAATCTTAGGTCACACTGATGGAGGAGTGTTATGAATCAATTGCGGTCATATGTCCCTCTCTGGAATATTTGTTATTGTTAGGGTTAGATAAAGCCACAGAAATAATCGAGCAGCAGATTCAAGATACAGAGTGACAAAATGATTTAATTCAACCTTCAGGAATGTATCACCCTCTCAGGGCGATCCAGAGAGCCTCCCTGCAACTTATCCATTTTCAATTACATGAATATTGATGAGCCTTCTTCAGAACTTGCTTTAATGTCCTCCATTCTGCATTCTTTGGGAATAGATAAAATGCTGTTGCAATCTCTCAGAGATTTTGCCTCTGCAAAGTGAGGGAGATGCAGATAGTCAAAAACTCCTTTATGCTGTAAGCTTCAGGCTGATTCTCCACTGGGGCTAATTTCCCAGATTGCATTTTGTATTGATTATTTATTTGCTGACAGGCACTACAGAGTAATATACTTAGCTGCAACATTTTGCCTTTTTTGCAGCTGGAATCTATTACTGTATCTTTAATGGACTGGAGCAGATAGCTAATTGTCTTAAAGTTGTGCGGTGTGGATGATGGTTGCAATACAAAGCCTGCCATTCTCAACAATAGGCTGCTGGCATTTTTACATCCACTGAATAGGAAAGGGAATAGCTCAGTCATTTATATTGTGGGGCAAGGATCATTGGGATGTTTGGAATAAAAGAGACCCCTTGGGATCAATTAGCTTCTTTCTGGCCTTTCCAGAATATACTACTTCCCCTCTTGACCCTGTGAATTGATTTATGGCAACTGGGCAATCATGCTAAGAGCCAGGTTAGTTGTTCATTGGATTCACATTGAGCCAAAAAAAAAAAAACAGATTGCCATATTAATTTGTTGTAGCAATAACAGAACATTGTGAGAGTTCAAGATAAACAAGGACATTATGACAAAAACTGGTCTCCAGATCACTAGATACTTGAAATTCCAGTAGGAGGCTACTGAATTAAAATGTTTTTTAAAAAGGTGCTATTATAAAAGTCTGAGCATGAAGTACCACAAGAATTACTTTCATCTCATCACAAAGTTTAATTAATGTAATAAAGCTAGATTTTAACAGTGTTTCTCAACCTTGACAATTTTAAGGCATGTGGACTTCAACTCCCAGAATTCCACAGCCAGCAATGCTGACTGGAATTCTGGGAGCTGAAGTCCACATGCCTTAAAATTGTCAAGGTTGAGAAACACTGAGCTAGAATGAAGGGTTTATTCCTGCTGTCATAAATGATCACTATGTTTCTTCTGCATTGATTTAAATGTGTTGTCCCAAACTCTACCTTTGCTATTTTATTGCCACTTGACCTCATTTATTACCCTTCCCCCTTACACCTGTACATATATATATCTGCCAATTGTGACTAATGCCTTTTATGGCTGATGAAGTGGATTGTAGCTGATGAAAACATTGACCAAGCACTATAGCAGAATTGTATAATGTGCAGAATGTTTAGGCATACTTGAAACCACATCTACCTTGATTTAAATCCACATGCCCAAAGAGTATGGACACCTGGAACAATTCTCAATGATGCAACTTTGGATTCTCACTCTATTCATTTTTAAGCTCTTACTCTAAAATATATTGGGTTCATTAGAATCACTCCAAAATATGCTGCTTTAACATCTTAAGTATAATCATGATGTGCAAGATAATATATCAATCTGTCCTAAGAAACCATTATATCTTCTCTACTCCTAGGTCAGGGCTTTTCAACCAGTGATACACGTACCACCTGGCAGGTGATACACGACCCCTAGCCAAGTGTAACGGGGGAGGGAACAAGCTAAAATGATGCTGCGCAAGCCTGGAGGAGATCAGCTAGAGTTGCAGGGCTCAGCAGAAGCCCCAGGGTCTGTGCGCATGGCTACATGCTTATTGGAGCTTCCGGCACACCAGAAGAGGAGAAGCTATAAAAGGTGCAAGTTTTGGTAGGAGAGGGAAAGAAAAAACACACACAAAGAGAGAAGAGAAGAGGCTTTTCTTAGCGAAACAGTGAGAGCAATGGAACGGCCTTTGCGAGTAAAGGGTGAGTGAGTGAAAGCGAGAGAGAGAGGGGGAGGCTTTGCGAGCAATGTGTGAGTGAGTGAAAGAGCGAGTGGGAGGCTTTGCGAGCAAAGGGTGAGGGGGGCTTTTGCGAGCAAAGGGTGAGAGAAAAAGGGAAAAGTGAGGGGGAGAAGGGAAAAAGAAAAGGCATTGACTTCTGACTTCCTCTGTTACAGTAGAAAGGAAGCATTGACATTGAACCTCAACTTTTTACTTTTCCATAATATTATAAACTAGCCATTTCTATAACAACAAATGAAGCTAACCAGTAAAACCCAAAATGTCCTAAAAGTGGTACAATCTGTTAAAAGGTTGAAAAGCCCTGCCCTAGGTTAAATTGTAGATGTTCTGCAGAAGATCCTGCAAACCCAATTCTCTTAATATTCTGTTAGTCCCGTCAATGGCTTCTTATTGCAAGGAAAACTTGTGACATGTTTTACCTTTTCTTTGAAAAGGACTGCAGTTGCCTGCCTAGCACAGAATATGCACACAGAAACATATACAGACTTCATGTTTCAAATAACTTGAAGAGGAGACATTTCTGGGTTTCAGGACCATGAAGTGGCAATCTCAGAAAAATAAAATGTGTGTACAATGGGTTTCTTCCCTCACATGACACTTCAGTCTACGTCAAGGTCCTAATAGCATATTCACCCACATCTCATTTTCACCCCATGATCTACATCCAAAGCAGCAGATTTTGAAACTCCTGGATTGTTGAGAGTTGCAGTGCCCTTACAATTTTTTTTTCTTCTAGGCAAAGCTAATTAGCACCATTCACATGTGTCATTGATCCCATTTATCACCTTCTACCTTCCCATTGAGGGGGCTTTTTCCTTTACAGAAAAAAACAAAATACAGCAGTCCTGCCCTCACTGTTTGAAACTGGAAGAAGCAGCTAAGGTTTCCAGCCAGAGGTAATATTATTGTTGGATATGAGACACTAGCAGCAAATGTCAGGTTCTTTCTGTTCACCATGTTCAAGTCAGAACTTCACTTAAAATTGCAAAATAGAAATGATCCTGGACAATTGCTCTCTATTTCGGAGGTTTAAACTCATCCTTATTTCTTAGTTTCCTATTTTTTTAACCTGTGTCCCCAAATTTGTTTCTTTGTTCTTTCCAGGTGCGAGATAAAAAACTCCTCAACGACTTGAATGGTGCTGTTGAAGATGCCAAGACCGCCCGCCTTTTTAACATTACCAGCTCGGCACTTGCCACCTTCTGCATCATTCTTGTCTTTATCTTCCTACGATACCCACTCACTGACTACTAAAACATGGCTCAGCCATTGCTGTTCAAAGTCCTCCATGCCAGAAGTAGCTGCCGTGGAGTTTCTCACATAAGGGACACAAACAACAAAACTCCTACATAGCCCCCCCTCTTAATGGCAGATGCCCCCTCTCCTCAATACTAAATATGCTGCAAGCTTCAACATATATTCACCCCCTGCCCCCCGCTATCTGCCATCCAGCCTGGCTGGGATGCAAACTTAAGTAGCAGAATTTTTTAGTTTTACATTTTGTACACAAAATATTTATTTTCTTGAAAAAGAAGTAGGATTTGATGGTGCAATGGGGTTTTTTTTTTTCTGGTCCAAGGGGAGAAAGTACAAAACCTCAGGTGAATGTTACAGAACCAGGCTGAGTACAAATTGGAACTGAAAGTTTGGGGTGGATAATCCTTTTGAGGAATCTGATGAATGCTGAAGAATCTTTGGGCTCTACAACCAAGTGTGTATACAACTTTCATTCCATTGCAGAGGGACAGAATGAACTAAGGAACAGGCATGACTTTGTGGAACTTATCAATTGCATCCAGACTTCTGTTTTGTCTTTGCCTACTTTGCCTCCCTGTTCTGTATCCCCAACACGCGTCCTTTGCCATGTACGTTTTATTGGTTTTTACATTTGACCAAAGCCCAAACAAACAAAAAGCAAAAGAACAACCATCAGGAAATTTGGATTCCTCAGAATTTATTCTCAACTTCTCCTGATCAGTTCTGGAGTTTTCCAAAGTAAATACAGAAGGGGAAAAAAAAGTTTTCTTTCGAACGTCATGGAGACCCTGAAAATTTACATAGTTCTTGTATTGCTGCCAACTTTCAATAAAGAAAAAAGCCTCTAACCATCAAATAATGAATTACTACAAATTTCATGTTTCTGTCTCATCCTTTACTCTCTAATAGGAGAAAGCTACAGTATGCTTCTGAAACCCATTTGAAGTTGTTGGATTTTATTTATTGCACACTCATTGCTTTTATACTCTCTGAATATTATGTTACTGTCACGCTATAGTGGTTTTCCTTCCCCCTTTAGAGTTGCATAATGCAGCAGTGCGATTCCACACCTTAGAAAACATAAATTATATTGTTTATTATTTTTTATTCCAGGGTTGGGTAAGTGTAGTGCTTTGTTTGATAACAGAAAAGAGCCAATTTGGTCTAGTGATTAAGGCACTCGGCTGGAAACCAGGAGATTGTGAGTTCTAGTCCTGCCTTAGGCTTCAAAGCCAGCATGAGTCACTTTTTCTCAGCCCAACCCACCTCACAGGGTTGTTGTGGGGAAAAGAGGAGGAGGAAGGAGTATTAGGTTTGTTCGCCACCTTGAGTTATTTATAAAAATGATAAAGGTGGGGTTCAAAAAATACTGTATCTTAAAAAGCTAAATGATTTGGCACATTAACTTCAGAAAGTTTCCATCAATTAAATGAAAAAAAAACCATGTTATTTATGGCCCAAGTTTGGTATGACACATCAAATAGATTTAAACACCTGAAATTCCTACATGTCCAAATGTTTTTACTTTTTCTTTTATTCCAAATAGCCCTGAGTGCATACCTTATCCAAAGAAGCCACTTGTTTTGTGGCTGCATGACACTTACTTTGGCAACATCTAAAATTGTGAAACTGTAATTGTAGAGATAGGATTAGATGCTCCTTTTAATAAGGCTACTGGATGTTACTGCTAGATATCAGCACATCCTATTTCTGCATCCAATGATCTAAAGCAGTGGTTCTCAACCTGTGGGTCGGGACCCCATTTGGAGTCGATCGACCATTTCATGGGGGTTGCCAAGCAAGGCTGTCCGCCATTTTTTTTTGTCCGCCATTTTTTCCCCTTTTCCAGCGGGTGCCTTACCTCCCTTGGGCTGGGCCAGCTGGTGGTCGGCCTGCTCCGTCTCTGCCGCTTGCCAGCTACGCCTCGGCCGGCGCAGGGGGCAGAACCACGCATGCGCGGCGGTCCCGGGCAGGGAAAGTCCTCGACTTACGACCGGTTGGGTAGTCCTCGACTTATGACCGGTTTAGTCCTCGACTTACGACCGGTTTAGTCCTTGACTTACGACCGGTTGGGGTCGCGGCATTAAAAAGGTTGAGAACCACTGATCTAAAGGATTTCTTCAGCTAAGATATCGTAGCCTCATACATTAATCCCAACAATAGTGGGAACTTTTCTCATACTTAACATTGCTGTTTTATGTTTTACTGGAATGCTGTAGTACGGAGTCATGAAGGAACAACGTTTTGAATGGTATGAATTCAATTTGTCCAGGTATCCATTTGTTTGAAAGGAGGCCAATGGAGAATGGGCTTGCAGAAGTGTGATAAACATAATACACTACTGTGCAAACAACACAGTGAGTAGTTGAGCAGGAAAGGGCTTGCTATAATTCACCCACCTACCCATCCAAACTTCTCCATTTGCTTTAGATGTAACTATTTCTAATCACAAGAGGTAAGTAATTGATGCCCTACCAAGTATTGCTGAACTACATCTCCCAGAATTCCCCAGGAAGCATGGCCAATATTGAGGAACTGCAGTTCAGCAACATCTGGAGTTTACTTATCTCTGCCAGTTCTAAAGCCCCATTTAGAGCAAAAAGAACAGAGAGCAGCTGAAAAGACCCTGGATTATGGTAACCACAGAACCTGCCTTCAAAGCACTGAGTGGGTGCAGCATCAAGCCAGGTCCACTGCCTGACAACGAAGAAGAGCTATGAAATCATGCCAGTAGTTTCCTGGGATCAGAATAAAGGGTTTATAGAGGGATCCTTGGTGCTCTCTGATCTTGGTTGTTTTCTTGCAGACATTTCATTTCCCAAACTTGGTAACATCATCAGTGCTAGTCTGCAAGAAAGAGGACCCCTCATTTCAACCCTGAGCTACAAATATTCTCCTTTATTGGCAAGTGTTTATTAAAAATAAATAAACATAGGTTAAAGAAATAAACATTCCCCTCAAATGAAACTTCTTGTGAATGATTGGATGCTGCCAGAACTATCAATAAAAAGCTATAAAGGTAGAAGTTAAACAGGAACCTTCACTCTCACTGCACTTTTCCAAAAAGAGTTCTGTAGAGGTTTGATTTCCATGTTTCACTGGACTTTTAATGTCAGCAGGATAATCAAAGAAACGGACGCTTAAATGAGCCAAAATGGTGGATGGGGAGGAAGGCCTTGATTGAATCCCAAAGGTGCTTTTTCATGAGGTAACTGGACTTTCTTTTTTCTCTTTGAAGATGTTCTGCTTCTCATCCAAGAAGCTTCTTCAGCTCTGATTGGATGGTGGGGAATGGAAGAATTAATACTACTGCAGACAGCTGGTCATTTGCATTCTTTCAGAGAGTCGTTGAGGCCACTTGGAGGCTTATCTGTGTCGTCAGGGTCACCTGAGTAGTGTGAATGGGTGTGGAGCCTTCTTGGAACTGCTAAAAGGATTCTGTTGTAAACTGAAGATAGATGATGTGCTATCCCTCCCCCTCTGTTGAGAGAGGGCCTGTTTGACCCCTCTTTCAAACCAGAGGTCCTCTCTGTCCAAAATGTGGACTTTCCTGTCTTTGAAAAAGCAGCCTTTGTCATTTAAATGCAGATGGACTGCTGAGTCTTGTCCTGATGGGTTTGTTCTCCTATGTTGTACTATATGTTTATGAAGTAGTTGTTCATAAACGTATGGCACAACATAGGAGAACAAACCTACTACTCAGGAGACCCTGACGACACAGATAAGCCTCAACAACTCTCTAAAACAGTGGTTCTCAACCTTTTTAATGCCGCGACCCCAACTGGTTGTAAGTTGAGGACTAAACCGGTCATAAGTCGAGGACTAAACTGGTCATAAGTCAAGGACTACCCAACCGGTCGTAAGTCAAGGACTTTCCCTGCCCGGGAGCGCCCCGCATGCGTGGTTCCACCCCCTGCGCCGGCCGAGGCGTAGCTGGCAAGCGGCAGAGATGGAGCAGGCCGACCACCAGCTGGCCCAGCCCAAGGGAGGTAAGGCACCCGCCGGAAAAGGGGGAAAAAATGGCGGACAAAAAAAATGGCGGACAGCCTTGCTTGGCGACCCCCGTGAAATGGTCGATCGACCCCAAATGGGGTCCCGACCCACAGGTTGAGAACCACTGCTCTAAAAGAATGCAAATGACCAGCTGTCTGCAAGGAGTATAAATCCTTCCATTGCCCACCATCCAGTCAGACCTGAAGAAGCTTCTTGGATAAGAAGCAAAACGTCTTCAAAGAGAAAAAAGAAAGTCCTGTTACCTTGTGAAAAAGCATATTTGGGACAACCATGACTTGCATGACTGAGAATCTCTACAGATCTTGACTGAATGCACTCTTATGGTCACTAGAGGGAGCAATAACAATGTGCTCAGCATTGTGAGGTTAGTGGTATGAATGAAGATGATTGTTAGTGTCAAAAAGCTTTTTTAAAAATGGGAGGGGGCAGAAATAGTGATGATATGGAAATGCCATGGCTTAAGTATTGTATATTGTATAAATTGGTTTTTGGTCTTTTGACGGTAGTAGGGGGTTTTTTTACATAGAGAAGATGCCCAAAAGCTGAGCTCATGGGCTACATAACCAAGCAGTTTTCTTGGAAAAGTACAGAAAGTACTGAAATAGTCTGCAAAATCTTGGGATGTTTTTCAACTTTCCACTCTAGTTTATAACTATAGGCCTAAGTGGAATTTTCCTACAATGGGATTTTCCCATGTATTTTACCAGGAAACATAGATAGGGCAGCCTAGAAAAGTCAGTGCCGTCCTAACCATACTCAAGCACTCCGAATTTGTTAGCGATGTCCATTTTGCTCTATGAGTTCATGGTGACCTAACCCTAACCCTAAGTGGAATTTTCCTCCTTTGGATTTTCCCATGTATTTTACCAGTTGCGGCCTTTTCTGGACCGGGACGCCTTGCGCACAGTCACTCATGCTCTGGTCACCTCCCGCCTGGACTACTGTAATGCTCTCTACATGGGGCTTCCCTTGAGGAGCACCCGGAGGCTCCAGCTAGTCCAAAATGCGGCCGCGCGGGCGGTGTTGGGAGGGACTCGTCGCTCCCACGTAACACCGCTGCTNGTGCCGTCGGCCAGACAGTGCCGGCTGGCGACCCCAAGGGGGAGGGCCTTCTCTGTGGGAGCTCCCACCCTCTGGAATGAGCTTCCCCCAGAGATCAGG